CCCCCCCCCCCCCCCTAAAAAACCCTGACCCCCTCCAAGTGCGACCTGATATTCCTGACCCCCTCTTCGACGGGGCGCCTTGATAAACCAGACCCCCCGAGCTCCAACCCAAAGCAAGCGCCCTAATAAACCGGACCCCCCCGGTTACAAAAAGGGCGCCTCAAAAAACCAGACTTGGGGGACGATTAATCAGGGATTTGGAGTCAGGAACGTCTTCTGGGGCCCAGACCCTGGCGCACTCCTGATTGTTTCAAGGCGGGGTGGGTGGCCCGCGTTTGGCCGCCCATCGGTCGCAAGGCCCTCTGTCCCTTCTCGAAGGCATCCCTGTCTAAAACCTCCTCTGCGCTTGCCCCCCACCCCCCACCCCAGAAATACGTACACACACCTGCGCCGCTCCTGGGCTCGGGATCGGTGTTGACTTGCGTGCCTCCCTCGGGGGGCGACACGGCGGGGGCGTTGGTGAAGGAGTGTGCCCGGAGGTCGCTCCCCTTCCTCCTCCTCCTCCTCCTCCTCCTCCTCCTCCTCGTCCTCCTCCTCCTCCTCCTCCTCCCACTCCTCCTCGGACGCAGTTCCACAGATCGTACGGCGGGGGCGTTGGTTAAAAGGAATCGTGCCCAGAGGTAACTCAGGCCCTGGAGGATGTCGTATCTGACGAGGGAGGCGGCGGTGTCCACGGTCAGGCCTCCACTGGTGGCCCACCGGCTGCCAGACCCTGGACTGCTGATCCAGGGGTTCCTTGTCCCAGTCCGTCGCCGTGCGGAAGCCCCATCCTGCCAAGCCGAGTCGCGTGTCCACCCGTGGGGCCCGGTGCTGTCTGCCCGGTGGTTTTCGTGTCGCAGCCGCCGCGCTGGCGGGCCTGCGCCCGCGGGGGAACTGATCGCTTCGCTGGGCGCTGCCACGGGCGTGTGTTCTGCTGGCGGACGGCCTGGTGGCTGAGACACGAGGAGCAGCTCGGGACCGGAAGGAGCTCGCCGCTCGGCGGGTCCTTCCATGGCCGCTCCTCCGGGCGCTGCTCGCGCATCCAGGCGCTCGTCGGGGCCAGGGAATGTGACGACGTCGCTCCCTGCGGTCGTTCCTTGCGGCAGCAGCCTGACTGCACGCGCCGCTCGCGGGTCCCACGGGGTGACTGGCCAGGACTGGCGAGGGCGCAGGGACGGGCGACCTGGCAGGCTGGGGGCCGCAGCACCCCCCAAGGACGGCATGCAAGTACGGTGGGGGCGTTGGTTAAGGAATGTGCCCAGGGGGCTCCAGACCCTGGAGAATTCCTTCTCTTCTGAGGGCGGTGGCGATACCCATGGCCGACCCACGATTGGAGTGCCGCTGGCCTCCAGACCGTGGATTCCTTATCCAAGGTTTCCTTATCCAATGCTTCCGCCGTATACACCGATCCGATGCCAGTTGGCTTTCGGGCCATAACTCGGGCCCCCGGCGTCCCTGGAGCGCTCCCGGCGAGGCGCAGCTCATGGGCACCATCACGGGGTTCGGAAACCTTCGATAACCGCCGAAAACATCCGAACACGTCCGCCAACTCTGGACAACCTGAGCGCTCTGGAACGCTCTCTGTTTCCCAGATGTCTTGTTTGTCGTGCCAAAGTCTTAACCCCAGCAGGGCTCCGGGTCGCGCGCCCTCACGATGTACACGCGCTTGTCGACCCCGTGCCGAGCAGGTCGAGTGGCCTTCGGCCCATCCCGCCGCCGTGGCCCAAGAGGTTCCCAAGATGCCCCTAAGAGGCCTCTAAGAGGCTTCCAAGAGGCCCCCAAACTGCAAGAGACCCAACACTGATGCTCGAAGGGGGAAGATCGGGGCTAGGAACGCGTCCTCGCATGCGTTTTTGTTCCCCCAATCCGAGATCCGCCAGAAAAAAGTTTTGCCGCTCAGAAATAGGAGGAAACTCTGGGATGCACCCCAACGGGGCTATTCGGGCGCATCCCTATCGGGGATGGATGCCCCCCCATCGTATATCCCAGGGTTGGGCCCCACATGTTTGGTCCATCCGAAAAGCCCACGAAGCCTGGGATAGGAGTAGGCATATCATATCCCCTGTTATGTCCACTACGGGCTCCTCTTCGGGTCTTGGTGACAGTTGGACGCACGGTCTGGTGCCGGGTGCGACCGTTCATGTTGCTACTGAGTTCTTCCCATCGCAGGGCGTTCAAGCGTGCTGTGCACGTGTGTGATTGTATCTTTGTCGCGCGGTTGGGTGATCGCGCCCTTGAGGGGCAACGCATTTCCAGATGTTTTTGTTTCGAGGTGCAAAAATAGGAAAATGTCCACTACGGTAGGTTCGCGTCGTGTCGATTGGCGGCGACCCAGCCGCCGGCGTTCAACGTGGAACGCCGCCGCCGACCCATCATCGGTCGTTGTTGAGCGACCTGACGTTTCGGAAACGGCCGATCGTTCGAGGTTGAACGACCCCTGCGGTGTCAGGAACCAGCGCTGGGGTCGACACGACGCGAGCCTGCCGTATACTATGTTATGTATGTGTCCATCACTTAGTGGCCAATGGCGGCCCAAGCGCAGTACATAGGTTGTGTCAACATGTGGCGCCAGAAGAACCTCGGCCGAATAATCGTACGCTCTACGTTGTCTTTTCGTGGCGCTTCTGCGAAGCACCACGGGGCCAGGCCCAGCCATCTACGGTAGGCTCGCGTCGTGCCGACTGGCGGCGACCCCGCCGCTTGCGTGTCAGGTTGAACGCCGCTTGTGGCCCAGGATCGGCCCATCGTCGAAAGATCCGGAGTCTCCGAAACGCCCAATCGTTCTAGGTGGAACGATCCCCGCGGTGTCGGGAACCAACGCCACAGTCGACACGACGCAAACTTGCCGTACTTTGGCATGTAATAGACGCGAGGCTCCCAGCACAGTCGGCGTGAACACAAACCTTCGGAGAGCTCCGCGCGTTTTTGTTTGCTCGGCGCCGGGCCTGGAGCTTTCGGGCGCCGTGCCCTGGCCATGGGAACTCGCGGCCTCCCTATGGGGTGGGCCCACCGCGGGGCGACCGGCGGTGTACCATCGCTGCCACGCCGAAGAAGAAGATTACAGCCTGAGCGGATTTGGGGGAACGGCGCTGGGCCCGCCTCCCTTCAGACGATCAAGGGAGCGTGGCTCAGCCACGGATCCCGATTCCAGGGGAAATCGCGGATATCCTCCGCCGAGCGAGGCGGCACCGGCCGCATGTCGGGGAGGGCACCTCCCCCGATCCATGGATTTGGCGACCGCGCGCCAAATCCATGGATCGCTAATCCATGTCTGCGCGCCCCCGATCCCTGGCGCGCAGTGCGCGCCAGGGGCGGCGCCAGAGGCGCCGGCAGGGGGACGGAATTCCGCGCGGGGGTCCGCAAGAATTTGCATGTATAAAGATCTTTCTTTTTGTCGGTGCGGCGCAGGCGCAGGGCGTGCAATCGTCGTCGGCATCGTCGCCGCCGGGGCTTCCTCGCCGTCGCCGCTGTCGTCGTCGTCGCCGCCGTCGTCGTCGCTGTCGTCGTCGTCGTCGTCGCCGCCGCCGCTGTCGACGTCGTCGTCGCCGCCGCCGCCGTCGTCGTCGTCGCCGCCGCCGCTGTCGTCGTCGCCGCCGTCGTCGTCGTCGTCGTCGTCGCCGCCGTCACCCTCGCCAGCGTCGTCGTCGTCGTCGTCGTAGCCGCCGCCGCCGCCGGCACCGCCGCCTCCGACGGTCGGATGTGTGCATCCGGATCCCCCCCCAAGGCGGCCCGCCGCGGCGGCCCGAGCGCTGGCCGCGCGCGGCGTGCCGGCGGCGAGCGCCGCCGCCGCCGAGCTGCCTGGCGAGCTGAGGCGCCGGGCCGCCGTATCGTCCGGAGGTGGGATCAGAGGCGGCGATAGGGGCGAATAGCCCAGGGGAGAGCAACACATTTATGCAGCCGCGCCGATTATCTAGGTCTTCGAAATGGCTCCCGGGCGCATGCGTGTGATGCCCGCCCCTGGGCTATTCGCCCCTATCGTTGACGCCGATGAGATGAGGTCGAGCTTGTCCCTCTGCAGGAGGAACGTTCAATAGTTGTTGGTTATTGTTTGATGGACGATTTTTTGATGATTGTTGGCTCTTCTGGGGCATTGTTTGATAATTTCTTATTTTTCGTCCGAAATCCCCCGATAGGAGAACATGACCGGCCTGAAGGTAGGATCCCACTTCGCAGGCGGTCCTTCTCCTCCAACCGGCGTCACAGTGTGTGTTTGTGAGAGAGAGAGAGTGTGAGTGTGAGTGTGAGTGTGAGTGTGAGTGTGAATGTGAATGTGAATGTGAATGTGAATGTGAATGTGAATGTGAATGTGAGTGTGAATATGTGTGTGTGTGCGTCGCCCTCCCATGGGCGACGCGCGCGCCGAGAAATCTGATAGTATCAGCTCCGTGGCTGGCGCTTTTTGGCCGTACCGCTCGGGAAGCAATTTACTACAAGATGGTTACACTGCATCCACGGGTCAGACGCGCGCCTGTGAGGAGGACACATTGTATTAGTATGTCCTTGTTCGTACCATTCGATCCCCAAGTTCCGCCCGAAGAGTTTGGCCGTCCAGAAATGGGGAACACCTTCGGGTAATGGAGGATGACGATAAATAAATGACCGGGGGTCGTGTTCACGCGGCGGCGCCCAGGATGACGATTTGAAAAAACCGGCCGCGGGCTGGAACACTATTTTTTAATCGTTCCCCTCCAGTCAGGAAGTTGTGCAGAACTAGGAGAATTTTGGATCGTTCTCTCCCATTTTTTATTAATCGTCATCCCGCATTACCCGAAGAACAAACAAAGCACTAAATCATAAAACATTGGAACCTTGGCGGTGTAACGCGGGTTTCTTGGATGTACGCTGGGCCCTCCTGGCGGTGCCTCTGGCGGCGCCGCTGGCGCCGCCGCTGGCGCGCTCCGCGCTCCAGGGGGGAGGGTCCAGCTCAGATCCAGGGGTCCAGAGGCCGTCAAAAGTTTGTGTTGATGTGTGTTTTGCCCCGCCAGGAAAGGGTGCAGCTCTGGCATACACCCCTATCGGGCTATTCGGATGCACCCCTATCGAGGATGGACGCCCCCCAGTTGTATATCCCAGGGATGGGCCCTACATGTTTGCTCCAGGGGAAAACCTCCCAAAGTCGGGAACTGGAGTCGCCGTATCCCCCGTTGTTTGCGAAGGGTTTGTTTCCCCTCGGTCTGGGCCAGGGGCTGCGGCTCGCAGGCCAGAGGGATATTGCTCCACAGTAATGTTCCCTTGCGACAGGCGTGGCGTGCTCGGCAGCATGACAGCAAGGGCTGAGGGCACATTGGCCAGACAGCCTCTCGAGAGGACGGGGCTCGGAAGGAGCAACGTTTGAATTGGCCGTCAAAGGTTTCCTCCCTTTCGCACCGTGGGAGAAACGGGTCCTGAAGGAAACGGGTCTTGACGATTTTCGCCGTTTTCTGGCTCCCGGGACCCTCCACGGGCCCCAGGACCATCAGAAAACGGCTCAGGATGAAAGACTCGCCCTGAGGGAAGGCCCCAGGGCCCAGGACTCGTTTCCCTCAGGACCTGCCTGCCCCGTGCTAGCGTTCCCCCTCTCATCGGCTCATCGGAGGCGCCCGCCGTCGTTGCTTGGAGGTTGCCACCGTGAGAGGCGCTCTTCGCCGTGGAGGGCGCCACGGTGGTCAGGGGCATCGCTCGGGGGGAGATGGGCTCAGGTGAGGACAAGCTCGGGGGGCTGTGCCGAAGGCTTGCGGTAGTGTTCACAAGTTTCCGAAGCCCGGGGTGGTGTCCATCAGCTGCGCCTCGTCGAGGGCGTTCTGGGGTCGCGGAGGTCGTCCCAAACGGCCGCTGGAGGCCCGTGGTCAGAGGTAGCGTTTGCACTGACCTTCGTCGCTCGGAGGTAATGCACCGTGAGAGTCGCTCCTCGCTATGCAGGGCGCCGACGGTACTTTGAAAGTATCTTCGGCGCGCCCGAAGAGCGTTGTAGGTATGAAGGCTTCGCGCTGATACAGCCATTATTTCTCCGTTTTCGGGCTCCGTGGGACCTCCGCGGGCACCAGGGCTCTCACGGTCACTGGTGAGCTGAGGCACCAGCCGTCTTCGCTCCGAGGTAATTGATGCACCTTGATGGGCGCTCCCCGCCATGAAGGACACCGATATCCGACGACGTGTTGTTGTTCAGTCTGGGTGTTTTTCTTCGATGTCGGCTTCCAGGGAATGCTAGCGGGCCCTGGGACCATGAAGAATGGATCCTGGACGCAAAGCCACCTCAGGCGGCTTTAAACATTTGCCTTCCAACAGATGGATATTTTAGCTTATCCGAGTCACTTGTAGCCATGAGAAACATGGGTCCTCACAGACACCGTAGTGTTTTTTTGTCTGGTTTTCGAGGCCCTCCCCAGGCCCTAGGACTGTCAACAAGCAGCTCGGGATACAAACAACATGCCCATGGGAAAAGGATCGGGAATTCAGGGACCCCGCATTGGACAAATCTACAGAACATGCGATGCCTGGGAGCCTTGGGAGCCTTGGGAGCCCTGGTAGCCTTGAGATCCGACGCCACAACATTGAAACATCGTTAACTATCAAGACCACAGCACTACTAGCTCGAGCCGGATTGGTCCGTGGGGCCCGGAGGACCCGGAACGGAAACGCCCAGTGTGAATCAAATGGAACGTCCAGATCTCGGGAATGCGCACGTGCGGTTCCGCTCGAATTTCTCCAGAGCAGAGGCGCGGGCGTCGTCGATTCTTCTGGTGCAGATTGGATCTCTTGGGAACGGATCTTGGTGCCGCTTCCGAGCCGCCGCGGATCGAGGGGAGCGGCAGATGTGTGTGTGTGTGTGTGTGTGTGTGTGTGTGTGTGTGTGTGTGTGTGTGTTTGGTTGTTCTGTTCCTCCACCTTTTGCGGGCCTCCAGGGGGTCCTGCGCACTCTGGGGACCTCAAGATGTCTCCGAGCCGTGGAGGCACTCGGCTCAGGGGCACAGCCAGGCAGGGACACCAGCTTGCGAATCGGCCGGCGTGCAGGGGTGAGGGGGGAGGAGGGCGGAGGGCGGAGGGAGGAGGGAGGAGGGAGGAGGGAGGAGGGAGGAGGGAGGAGGGAGGAGGGAGGAGGGAGGAGGGAGGAGGAGGAGGAGGAGGAGGAGGAGGAGGAGGAGGAGGAGAAGGAGGAAGGAGGAAGGAGGAAGGAGGAAGGAGGAAGAGGAGGAGGATTAGGGAGGAGAAGGAGAAGGAGGAAGGAGGAGGAGGAGGAGGAGGAGTAGGAGGAGGAGGAGGAAGGTCGGCGGCCGAGAGGAAGGCGGGACGCTCAGGCGCCGAAGAGTTCGACGATGGGCTGCCGGCGGGCAGCAGCGGCAAGGCGAGCAGGGCCAGAGCGCGGTGGGCGATCGGCACGATCGACACGGGCACGGAGAGAGCTGAGTCCAGTCGGTGTCGGCGAGGCACTCAGCTCAGGGGCAAGTGGGCTGCGCATGCTGCGGTGCACGGGCCGAGGGGCCACGCCGTGCGGCGCATGCTGCGGTGCACGGTGCGTTGCCCCGTGCGGCCGATGGTGTCCCAGCGTGGTGCGTGGCATGGGCAGTGGGGCCACCGCCTGAGCCCATATGGGTGCCCTCCTCCCTCCTCCCTCTTCCCTCCCCTCCTCCCTCCTTCTCTGCCCTCCTTCCTCCCTCCCTCCGCCCCTCAAGCAACCTGGGCTCGAGCAGTTGAAGGGGCCCAAGGGGCCCCACCACATCCTCGAGTCCGTCCCTGAGCTTCCCAGCAGCGCTTGAGGGACTGTGTCTTTTTCTCGCACCCAGCTCAGAATAGACACCGACTAACACAGGGACAGAAATGGCAGGAGTTGAGAAACTCTGGACGAGGTGCACACAGTGCCAGACATGCGAATGGAACGCTATCCTTGCCCGCCGCCATAACAAATGCAGCAGTTGCGGCTCAGAGGTCGCTCCCTTCCAGAAGCAGTGGCGTCCCAGGCGAGTCCGTTTTGGCAGTGATTCCTACGGTGACAGCGACGCCGGGGGCTTTTACGACGCCTTCAGCGGGAACGAAACCGAGCGCACCCTGCCCCAGCCGCGCCCCCCAGGCATCCTGCAGGGCGCCGCAGGCGGCGCAGGGGGAGGCAAGGGAGGCAAGGGCAGCACCTCGGTGAAGAGCCTACTGGACCAGGCCCTAGCCGCAGCCCCCAGTGGCGCGCTCAAGGCTGACCTCCAGGCACAGCTGGACAAGCTAGCCAAGGAGGAGAGCGGGCGTGAGGCGGCGAGGGTCGCCCCAGCCGAGGCCCTACGCAGGGCCGACGGCGCGTGGAGGAACGCCGACCACCTCCACAGCCAGGCCGTGGCCAACGTGGTCCGCTTCCGCGGGAACCTGGCGGCGGCGGAGGCGAAGGAGAAGGCGGCCGCCATGCACCTCGCCGAGATGACAGAGGCCAAGAGGGCCGCGGCCACGGCCCTTGCGAGGGCTGAGGGCGCCACAGAGGGCATCGACAGCACGCAGGGCGGCGCTGAGAAGAAGATCGTCACGCTCGCACGGGACGAGGAGTTCTTCGCGAACTTGGAGTCCCTGGACGCCACGGGCGACGAGCGCAAGGCGCTGGAGGAGCTCCGCAGCCAGCTCCAAGGAGCTAAGGAGCACCTCGTCGGGAAGGAGGCGGAGATCCAGGCATGGTTGGAGAAGATGCTCGAGCATACGAAGATCATCGAGGAGCGTGCGAAGACGAAGAGGCGCGCAGACGGCACCGAAGGAGGGGCGGAGGCGTCGGCGGACGGCGGCGGCTGCGGGACCAAGGGCGCCAGCGGGGCCACTGCCACATCCGAGCCGCGCGCGGCTCCAGGGGGTGGCGGCGGCGGCACG